AGAACAAGTTAAAATCTGGTATTCGTACCAAAGAAGGAAGTCGCAGTACTAAAGACAGTAAAGCTATCCTTGAAGCAAAGCACAATCTATGTTTCCAACAGATTGGGAATGAGATGAAAGCTGATTACGGAGAGCATGACGCTATTCTGATCGCTCGTTGCATGATGCAGATCAAGGCCAAGTTTGATACTGATGAAGGTCTGAACTTCATTCAAACATTGAAAGTTGGGCTCGTACCGCCTACGGATATCATGGAATTTGCCTTGATTATATTCTCCGTGAAAATTCTGAACTTCCAGTTGCTGGTGACCCTGGATTCCTCCAAGCCAACGACGGCTCTCGCTCCATCAAAGAAGAACTTGTCCGACGTGCTGCCCATACTGGTGCTGTGTTCCGTCGCAACAACCAGAAATTTTGGGTTATGCTCCATGCAGTCACACATGAAACCGATGCCTACAATCATGTTGGTGAATTTGCTCCAACTTTGAATGGCCGCGCTGCTTACTTCACTCTGTTTGCACAATATCGTGGAAGGGGACATTTCACAAATGAGCACCAAGCTGCTGTCCGTGTCCTTGCAACACTTCACTGGAACGGTAAAGCTCGAGGCTTCACATGGCATACTTTTATCAGTCGCCTTATTGGAGCCTTCAACGACCTCAAGTTGAAAGGTGATCCACGCTCTAATGCAAATAAGGTTGAGGTACTTCTCGAGAAAACTGTTGGAGATTCCTCACTCTCTAATGGAAGATCACACATTACAGGAGATGCTGTTCTCCAATCCAATTCACAAGGTGCCATCGATTATTTAACAACACAAGTCTTACAGTCCCAATCAAAATCAGACCGGATGTCGTGGAAAATCCGTAGCCGTGGTACAAAACGTGACGTTCGATTGAGTCGGAAAGTAAATTTGATTTATTCGCGATTCAACTGTCAAATGACCAAAATTCTGAAATAAGAGGCAATAGCACCTTCTTGTACAATAAGACCTTGTTTTGATTACAAATATTGTATTTGAACATCTACTATTTGTTTAATATATATAGTCTAGAGGTGTGCGCACTTTCAATTGCAAATTTTGGCTTATAATACATGGAATTTTGAAACATTCATTTGAGCCACCTGAAATGTTCGCAAGGGGGCAGCAGGAAATCAGAGAAGGGAATCTCATTTCTGCCTTGACGTTGCAAAACAGCACCCAAAGTCGATGCGTGTATGTATGGTGGTAGCTTTTGTCGGGATCCAACCATGTCTGGATAGCAACACATTGACTGGGATAGATTCTTGGCCACTTCTGGATTGCATGCCGAATTGACCAGAAGTGCAGTTCAATCACTTTGACTTTGAAATATTCCATTCCAAGCCGCCAAACCTTGTTTGATATACCTATGGACGACAAATACATGTTAGAATAAAGAAGATTGAGGAAATCAGGCTAACAATTCGACAATTACAGAATTCTCAACAAACGTACCTCTTTTCTGGCCCCACTCTGGCCTCTGCCTGCTTGATCTAGACCAAATCTTTGAATGGGTCCCAAAATTTATCAACTGTAGGTATCTAAGTGAGGTCCTGGTGTATTGTTGAATGGATAGCTGTCTCCATGGCGGCCACAGGGACCTTCATCTGATTTTGCCAAGTTTTGCCAAATGATGGACTTGGTTGATAAACTGCACAAAGACACCCTGATATCGAACACCACACAATTCCAAGGTCCTCAGTATAACAATAGAAGCAACCTCAGCGAAATTATGAAGCTCTTTGTGCCATGGGACTCTGTGGTGTCCCAAAACCCTTCGAAAACTTCTTTCTGGACGTTGAAGGTAGGCGCCAGCGGTCATTTTTGGGACCAAAGAAACAAATGAGACCAAATCACGTCACGGGAACAGGGTAGCTAATGTCAATATATAGGTGCTGTTACCCACGCATCGACTTTGTTGTAGTGGGTGATGAATACAGGTGCCTCAAAACTTACCACCATGGTGAAATCAAATCCATCTGCTTTTTTGGTAGATTTTCACTATTTAGAACCATCGGGCATGTAGTTTTTATTTGACATTTTGATTCTTTGATATCTTTAGAAGCGTATTCTGCAAAAAAAGCGGGATGCTCGATGTTTTCTTGATGTCAACAAGGTGTTCGAAGGTTGGTGATCAAAATGACGATGTGTTGCTTTGATTATCTGGTACAATAGCAACGAAAATCTACGAAGGCGTGGAAAAAATGCGAAAGTACTTTGTTAGACCGACTGTGTGACGTGGCCTACTAGTTCTACGTATTCTACTTCATGTTTCAGAATTTTGATTTGGACTGTAGCTGCAGGTAACAACAACACCCAGCGCCGCAATCGACAACTTGCCGCTTTTACTTGTGGTGGTGGCAGGCGCGGTGGTGATGGTAGAAGTGGAGGTCGTGGCCAAGGAAATGGCGCCACAAACCGTCTGCAATCGAATGTACCAGATCGCTTTAGCCGAAATGGGATACTACTAAATGATGGAGGTTATTCAAATCAAATCTGGAGAGAGGAGTTTACACAAGAAGAAAGAAATATTTGTTTAGAAATGCGTCGCAACCGTTGCAATGGTGGTGGTCATGGCGGAAGAGGCCGTGAAGGCCGTGGTGGTTGTGGTTGTGGTATCAGCGCTGTCCATGATGGACGGGCTGATCAAGAAGAAACAAAAGAAGAAAGTAACAATGAAAGTAACAATGATGGACGTGGGGCAGGTGCAGGAATGAGTCGTCGCCGTCGTTGACTAGGAACCTCATCTGTTAGATCCCTCACGAGCACTCGCCCAAACTCTCGTATGGTATCAGTGCTATCATCCACAAACACCCTTACCAACCAATGTGAACTGGACTCGCACGCAGATACATGTGCTTTTGACCCTGCTGGATGTTGCGTCCTTTCAACGTCCTCTAAGTCAATAAATGTCACCGGTTTCCACAATGGCTTGAAAATAAACGATGTTCGAATTGGAAATGTCTGCCTTGCCTATGACTGTCCCTTTGACCATCAAACCTACTGTCTGCATTTCTGTGAAGTGCTTTTGATCCCTGGCCTAGGATCGCATCTACTCTGTGTCAATCAACTGCGTGCCAACAGCGTGGTGGTAAATGACATGCCATTAATCCGATTACGGCCTGAACAAGGAAACAGAGAAGCTCATGCTATTTTGACATCGAATATACGGATCCCGCTCCTATTTGACAAGCCAATTTCCTATTTTACATGTCGCCAACCTACCGATGCAGAGGTCAGCGATATAATGGAGTTTCAGCCTGTTTGGATGACTGCAGACATTCCTTGGCAGCCTTATGATCCTGATTCCAGGCGCCAAGAAGAAGCTCTGCGACAACAGATTGATGCTGATTATCAAGCACCGTATCACCAACTCGCATCTTTCACTCGACTTGATTCAACGCTCCCAACTGCTGCTTGCCTTGATCGTTTACCGCAAGTTTTAGGGGACAGCAACAATGTCGTATGTGGCGTACACAGTTTGACAATTCGATCGATGAAAACTTCCGGAAAATCCTACCTCATCAAGCCGGATCAACTTGCTCGTCGATGGAGAACCAGTATTGAATGTGCTCGTCGCACCCTGGAGAAGACAACTCAACGTGCCGTTCGTGATTGGTCGGTCGTTCAGGGGTCTCGCCGTTTTCGCCCTGTACAATATCAGTTGGAGTATCCGAGATTGAAAACAAATGTTTATGTTGATGTTAAGTTTGGACCCTGCAAGTCAGCTGAAGGAAACACTTGCATCGCGGTCTACGCTACACCAGTACAGTGGGCTCGTGCTTATCCGTTGAACAAAGAATCAGATGTTCACACAAGCCTCACACAACTATTTCGTCAGTTCGGTTTTCCCCAATGTCTCATACCTGATGATGCCAAGTCTCTCACTCAAGGGAAATTCCGAGAAGTTGCTAACAAAGGACAAGTGCCGATTCATCCTATTGAGCCTCATCATCCTAATCAAGCACTTACAGAGGACACAATTCGGGAAGGAAGTCGACTTTACCGTCGATTCATGCATGCAAGGAATATCCCTATTGCGTTCTGGGATCGAGTTTTTATGTATGCTTTTGAGATTTGCAGTCACATGGCATTGGGACTTGCGATACAAGAAGGAGAATGTGGAGCCACAATTGTTTCTGGCAACACTAAAGATATCTCTCACCTGGTTGATTTTGCTATTTGGGATTGGTGTTGGTGCCTTTCGCCTAATCGCTCATCCAAGGATGGGAAACAACTATGCCGTTGGCTTGGTCCAAGTTTTACTATTGGAGCAGCTCTTTGTTTTGCTGTTGCTATTGCCAATGGACAAGTACTACAACGATCGTCAGTGATTCCACTATCAGCTGAAGAACGAAACAGTGAACCTATGGAAGAGAAAAAGAAAGAGTTTATGGAAGGCCTAAAGAAGAATCTGAAGAAGAAGTCTGATGGAGTTTCTATCTCTTAAGAAGAACTTGACCGCATTTGGCATAAATACAACATGCCGATCTCTGCAATCGAGGATGGTAGTTATCCACAGTATGATCAGTATGAAGATCACCCACAAGAAGATCCTCGTCACAAGATTGAAGATGATTTCAAAGAGCCGCCGGATCAAGAAGCGGACCCTGTTGAGTTCGATAAATATGTCTCTGCAAAGGTTTCTTTTAATGCAGATGGAGTTGAAACTTTTGGAGTCGTTCAAGGTCGGAAGCGTGACTCATCTGGAAAATTGATTGGTCATTACCACGAGAATCCACACCTTGACACATCTATCTATCAAGTGGAGTTTGAGGATGGAAAAGTGGAAAGCTTCTATGCAAATCAGATTATTGAAGGGATAATGATGAATGTTGATGATGAAGGTAACACAATGTACCGGATTCACGAATTTATTGATCATCAACGTGATGGACGAGCAGTTAAAGGGGACGACGGGTGGAATACTACCTCCAATGGTCTCAAGCGTCCACGAAAGACAACTAAAGGATGGAAATTGTTAGCTGAAATGAAAGGTGGAGAAACCGAATGGCTTGATCTATCAGTAGCAAAAGAAGCATTTCCTATTGAGGTCGCTGAATATGCTGTTGCAAACAAGCTTGTGTCAGAGCCTGCCTTTGTGTGGTGGGTTCCCTACACTTTGAGAAAGCGTGATCGAGTTTTAAAAGCTGTTAAGCGCCGTGCTGTGAAAAGGCAGAAACCAGAAAAGTTTGGTATTGAAGTGCCTGGTCCTGGGCCGAAAGGTGTCGCACGTGCGTATGAACTTGATGCTGAGAATGGTACCTTGCATTGGAATGATGCTTTGATCAAAGAGGTCAAGACAATTCTGCCAGCTTTGAAGATTCTGGAAGAAGATGAAGATGTTCCTGTTGGATATCAGCTCATTGAGCTTATGACTGTCTTTGATGTCAAGATGGATCTCACACGGAAGGCACGCATATGTGCTAGAGGGGACCAGACTGACCCTCCAATGTCTGTCACCTATGCAAGTGTTGTGACAAGGGAAAGTATTTGACTTGCTTTTGTTATTGCTGCTTTGAATGGTTTGAATGTTTTGAGTGCTGACGTCTCCGGTGCATATCTGAATGCCAAATGTACCGAGAAAGTTTGTTGTATTTTAGGGAAGGAGTTTGGAGAATATGCCGGGAAGAAAGCTATCCTGGTTAAAGCCGTTTACGGACTCAAAAGTTTGGGATTCGCATGGAGGAGCCTCTGTGCAGACGTTTTGAAGGAACAATTGGAGTTCCAACCATGTCGCGGAGATATGGATGTTTGGCGTTGTCCTTGTCAACGCAAAGATGGTTCGAAGTATTATGAGTATATTTTAGTCTATACTGATGATGCCATTGCATATTTCGGAGAATCCAAAAGCTAGTATGGACAAACTCAACAATTTCTTTGTTTTAAAACCTGACCACGTATCTTGGTGGAACAATCTCAAAGCACAAGTTGGATGGTGATGATTATTTTACCTGGGCTATTGGATCTGAAGCATATCTACAAGAGTCATTACGAGTTGTCAAGAAGCAAATTGCGCCAATGCAACTGACTTTGAAGAAAAAGGTTTATTCAACTTTACCCACTGGATACAAGCCGGAACTTGATTCTACTCCTTTTGTCAATGATGATACTGCAATACTTTACATGCAGCTCATTGGTATTCTGCGCTGGCTTGTGGAACTTGGTCGTATCGATGTTGCCGCCGAAGTTCTATGCTCTCATCTTACAATGCAATGCCTCGTGAAGGTCACTTTCATGCTGCCTTACATATTTTTGCCTATTTACAGAAGCATCCTGATCGTATACTTGTGATGAATTGTGGTTACGCTGATCATCTGAGACCATTAAAGAAAGCTGATTACTCACAGTTCTATGAATTCACTAAGGATGAACTCCCAACTGACATGCCTACACCTCTTGGCAAAGTGGTAGAGTTTACTATGTTTGTTGATGCATCTCATGCTGCTAACGTTGTTACTCATCAATCAAGAACAGGAGTATTGATCTTTGTTAACAAAGCTCCTATTATCTGGTATTCAAAAAAGCAGAACAGTGTCGAGACAAGCAGTTTTGGTTCTGAGTTTTCTGCTCTAAAGACAGGTGTTGAATTACTTGAGGGACTACGATTCAAGCTCAGAATGATTGGCGTCCCAATCCAAGGTTATTGTCATACCTGTATTGACAACATGTCCGTTGTCAAGAACTCAAGTGTTCCTGAATCTCAATTGAAAAAGAAATCGAATGCTGTCGCATATCACTACGTTTGCTCCAGATGCGCAATTGATATCCTACGAATTGAATGGATCATTTCCGATGAGAACTTGGCCGATGTTTTAACCAAGATCCAACCTGGACCTGTTCGTGATCGTCTTATTGAACACATCATGTGGAAAGCAAAGCAAAATGGAAAACTTGCTCTTTTGATTTAATTTTGGAAACGTCTTCATCTGTCGCCGGATATTGTCAGTCTTGGACAGTATTGGATGATACGTCCTCCCAAGAGGGGGTACGGTTGATATTAGCCCAATTCGGAGTACAAGGTTCTCTGATACATCAGTATCACCTTGAGGGGACCGTTAATTGGACCAGAGAGTGTCCGTCATTTGTACGTTAGATAGTTTAACCTAGAGATTTGCACACATCTTGTAAAATCCCCATGTTTGTCATCGTACTCGTTTTCGTCCCGAATCTCTCGTACCTCACTACTCAATCTAACGCATAGGAGCCGATTTTCATCATCACGCGCTCACAGAACAGACGTTGATAAGATTTCCACATTGGGACAACGAAAGCCTCTTGCAGAGCAAAAACAGGGAGTCAAAACTGGCTTTTCTAGCTTTCTGGAACTCTCCAAGGAACCTGACCCCAATGGACAAACTACGGCAATTGTCAAACTACTTTGGTCCCTCTACACTATGCGTATCAAAGACACGGTCAATGTCGTTTGCTCGATTCGTAAATTGGCCTATTGCACCCGCAGCTCGCCTGTCTCTGGAGCACTGTTTACTAAATGGGACGACGATGTCAACAATGCCGATAAATGGAATGGCTCTTGCACTGGATATGCAGAATCGTATTCCGATTATCCAGATGCTAAGTCCTGGGAGGAAAAGGGTATTGCAACCTTCAAAATGTGCAATAACCAGTACGATGCACTTGAAGTCTGGATGGAAAACCTGCTGGACCCGCGCCTTCTTGCTGACAAAGGGACTCCACAGTTTGACAATGATTGGGAAAGCCGTGCCTTCCTCTTTGGACTGGTAACCCAATGCCCCTTGATGATCTTTGGGTATAATGATCCAGTTGACAATAAATTCAACAGTCAATCATACTGGAACAAGGAGGACCCATACAATCCTCATCTTCGGTTTTTGGAAAATCCTCTTCCTTTGATCTGGTTGATTGCAGCGCCTTGGGCGGACTCTTCCCGCGATCCGGTCTCCAAAGAAGCATCTGAAGAAATGCGGTTGATCCAGCGCCACAATGAATTTAAAAAAGTTGAAGGCTGCCGCCGTCAACAAGTCCAAGAAAGCCTGTGAACAAACTACCTCTTCCAACACCCCAACTGTTGACAAAAATGGTGATTCCCAGATGGCAATGGTCCTACTGGACGAGGATCCTCCCCCAGTAGGTGCGATCATCTTTACCAGAATGGATGCTTTGGCCAGGCAAACCATAGCTGCCGATGAGGACATGTTAGAGCCTGCACCTGCAGAACGACAGGTGAAGGCATCGTCTGCCCATTTGGCGGCATTTGCTGATGGCCCCAAGAAGCGAACCCGCCAGTCCCTCCCAACCAACCACCCCAAGTCACTCCCAACAATCCCAAGTCACTCCCAACAATCCCAAGCACAACAACAGGGTGGTTGCCAAGAAACCAGCCTAGCCTATGAAGCCTCTTCTCAAGCTCCCTCCGGCTGATTCCGCCCTGACCTACAGCGATGCGGCCAATCTCCCCCCCTTCATGAAACGGAAGAGGCCAAAATTACTAGACTACTCCAATTGGGGTCCTCTAACCTGCCGTTCTCGGCCTTGAGTTACTTTAATGTCATGGTGTGATACGGTGGGCTGCCACGGCCGCCGAAGGTAGCCAATCGACGATCGCTCAGAAGATGATCCAGGCTATTCAACCGGGCATGCTCAAAGCCATCACCTATTCCAACAAGGATTTAACTGTCCTTCCCCTCCTCTCAGATACCAAGGCGAACTTTTGAAAGCGCAGGTGGTGGATCTGCACCCCTGAAGATGTGACTTCCAAGCTCAGGTCTGTGGCCGACATCAAGCGCTATGTCAACATGTCATATGACAATGGCTCCTACTACAACAGCTCCCCTGATAAGGTCCGCAAGCGTAATCTCAAAGATTGGATGCGCTTTGGAAGCAAGGGAGATTTAAACACTGTGAAGTCAGGTATCCATTCGGCCTTCCGTGAACACAATGGAGGATGCTACACTAGGGTTTGTCAATGAACCCAACCCAACTATTTTTTGTTTATTTTTATTGACCAATAGAAGGGCAGTATTTTTCCCAATATTTGACCACCCCCTTTGAAGCCACGAAATATTATTGGGAAATAGCCAGTAGTTTAGGGAGACGTACGATATCTCCTAGATATATTTGCTTGCTTATTTGTTGTCAAAAAATAGCATGACCCAACTATTCTTTGTTTAACTTTGGGCCACGTTTACTCAAAATTGAACTGTTCCACACCATAAAAATCTAAAACATTGGACAGGAATTGTAAATCTTTTATCCCGCGAATCAATTATCTCCGGGTCATTGAAGACCCAAATATATTATAGTTGGGTCTCTTTTCGGCACAATTTTTCTTTTCCTGACCCAAACCAACTGTTTTCTTTTTTGGCTTGACCAATCACAGCTGCCCAAAAAAAAAAGAGTTGGGTTGGGTTCATTGACAACCCCTACTACTCCTCTCCAACATGGGGTGGTGATGAAAATTGGTTCTTTGGCTCAGTGCCCTCTCAAGGTTGATTGGAAGAAGTTGGCCCGCCAGCTTATGAAGCACATTAACTTCTTGTACCCAATCAGGGTGGATGTAGGTTGGCCTTCCCGCCCTGGCACAGACCGCCGATGGTCAGGCAGTGACCCCAAGTCAATGGGTGTCTTTGTGTTGAAAGAGCACACGGTCTTGATTGATGGGGTCTTATCCAAGAAGATTCACATCACTGTGCCAAAGTGTGACTGCCTGTGGGGTATTCCGTTTGCATACATCCCCCAAGCTCAAGCATTGGAATCAATTGAGGCCGATAATGTGGCAAGCCAACTCGACATTGCCGCCCACTTTTCTATCATCCACAAGACCAAAGAATAAAGCAAAATGTGTTCTATTGTGAGTGCCTTTAGCGCTCAGAACAAACTCTCTGCAATCTAAATTTGTAATCGACTGTACAACACTTTCACAACAATAGTTCTCCTGTGTCTAGGTATACTTTGAGTGAAATTGTTCCTATTTGATTTATATTTGGCTTGAATTGATAATTCAATCACAAAAGTAAGTTCAACAATTTTCCCTTGGAAAATCCCTTGTTTACAGAACTTGATTCAACCTCTATGACAGTTCTGTGTTGAATGCAGTACTTTGGGACATCTTGTATTATTCCCTACGGCATTGTACACAACATCAATATCAAACTTATATAGGGTCATTCCCTTTTTGTGTGGATGTAGATTGTCCAACAGACTTGCGTCTGGCATACTTGCGTCAAATCCTGACATAACGATCAAAGTCCGATGGTACGTGTCGAAAACTTTGTACTTGAATAGTTTCTTTTTGGAATGTAAAAACTCATACTTTGTCATATCCCAACACACTCCTGCCATTCTGACAATCACCATTGGCAGCAATGGGACATGCTCTCATTCACTGTTTATTTTTGTTTTGTATTTTCATTTTTGAACATATACATACCTGTCTGACCTATTCCTGTGGACCAAGAATCAGATTCCTGAACTTGCAAAATTTCTCACCTTGCGATGGCTTAGTCATAAAATCCGCAATCATATTGTCAGTTGGACAGTATTTGATCTTAACATTTCCTTTCTCAACTTGATCTGTGATAAAGAAATAACAAGTATTGATAGCTCGGCTTCTTTTGCCCGCGCTCTTGCGACCATTCTCTTCCAGTAGAATCGCGCCTTTATTATCCTGATACAAGATATTCTTCTTGATTGGATACCCTTGCCACTCCATGAACAACTTTGTCCATAGTATCATTGTGACAACATCATCAACAGCAATCAGTTCCGCTTCCGTACTGCTTCTGCTGTTTAGCTTTTGCTTCTTTGACATCACTTGAGCTGCACCTCCTCCAAAGGACAGAGTGCTGCCAGTATGGCTCTTGAAATCTGGATGCACCGCAAATGATGCGGTGACTTGAGCTGCACCTCCTCCAAAGGACAGAGTGCCGCCAGTATGGCTCTTGTAACCTGGATGCACCGCAAATGATGCGCCACTCCATGAACAACTTCGTCCATAGTATCATCGTGACAACATCGTCAACAGCAATCAGTTCCGCTTCCGTACTGCTTCTGCTGTTTAGTTTTTGTTTCTTTGACATCACTTGAGCTGCACCTCCTCCAAAGGACAGAGTGCCGCCAGTATGGCTCTTGAAATCTGGATGCAGCGCAAATGATGTGTCGATCATCCATTTCATGACTCATAGTGATTCTGCGGAAAGTGTCAGGTGATACAATGATGTACAAACCAAATATTGCATCATGCGAACACACTTCTTCCAATCAGACTCTGTAGGTTCTCAAACTCTCGAGGCAAGAATAGTAATTGTTGGATGGATATCCAAACGAGCTCTCTTAGAGACGTAAAGTCCCCTTGCAACAGTAGTATGGAAGATCTGACAGTACTCAGCACTGAGTAACTTTCCTTTACCAGCTTCCAGTAAATCATTACCAGCTGGTGTTTCCTGCTTTGAATCCTTGTTGAACTTGATAAGAAAATCTTCCAACATGTTCTTGACATAGTCGTCCATGCGGATCTTGAGTTTTCCTTTCACCGAGAAATCCAAAGACATTCCAAGATATCTGTGTATCTTTCCTCTGACGATCTTACATGGCTGTATCGAACCATATCTCATGTTCAACCATTCAGCAAATTTGGCTGTATCGAACCATATCTCATGTTCAACCATTCAGCAAATTTGTCATTTACTTTCGGATCCATGTGACTTGACATAAGATCGTCAACATGAAATCTGATAACATCCCATAAATAGCACGGAGGATCACAACATAGATCACTCGACGTCCATTTTCGATTACTACAAAATCCCAATATGTCGGATCTAGGTCAATCATGTAGTCGACCAGCAGCCCAGTAATTTTCATTATTACTCAATCTTCTCCTTCTTCCTGCTTGGGCATCAATGTTTGGATAAACGCGTTAGGTATATCCATTGACATGACGTTTCTACCTTCATGGGCATCAATTACACCCGTGCAGATATTAGCTTCATGCGAAGCTGTGGGACTTGCAGTGTCCTCACGAGACAACCAATCCCGGGTCTCGTTACCTTTGAATACACACCGCCCTTTGATTGTTACGCCATCATTCTTTTGGCAAGTAGCATCATCGCATCTACGGCCTTCTTTCTTTCGGTTGGTTTTAGTTTCTCAATACTGATCAGTGTCCAGCAACTGCGCTTGATTAATTGGTCAAGTTCTTTCATGGCCGCGTCTTTACCTCGCTCCTTGAATATTTTCAGTCCTTTATTCAGATAGTATTGCTGAATGAACGAGACTCCGTCTTGTCCATTGATACCACCGTTGACACCCTCGCGTATTTGTTGAATAACACGAGCGACTACCAACGCTTCGTCAGCGTCATATTTGCCTTTGTTTGTGTTCCCGACTTGTTGGAATGCCAAATTGTGCACGCGTTCTCGGATGGAACGCTCGTGCTTAAGGTTTCCTTGCAACTGTGCTCCATTTCTTTGCGTGTCAATTCGTTTCTTAATTGCTTGATACAGCGATACTCGGAGTCTTTTCATTCGTGCTTTTCTTCTCATTGCACGCCTGTTTCTCAGAACGTTTGTCACAGGCGGATTCCTTTTTTGCAGGTATCTCTGTCCAAATCTTGATTTCTCTCTTCTGTATCTCTCAGTGGGTCTCATTTTTACCCCTTGTGAGAAGTAGGATCGATTGTGTCTTGGGCGAAGTACCCATTTCGCTCCAACTTCGACACCGTCGTCACTGTAGCTTCTTACAATTCCTTCGGTGTTGGACTCATCATTATCTGTGTCCGCGAATCTCACTCCTGCGCGAGCGACACCATCTTCCTCTTCTGATTCAACTTCCACATCTTCTTGTGTGTCGTCATCAAACTCAAACAGAACCTCTTCTTTGTCTGGTTTTCCAAGTTCCACTAACTCAGCTGCCAGTTCGTCTAACATTTGCTTGGTTTCTTCATCGTCTAGTTCAGACTCGTATTCGTCTTCGTCGTCCATGTCCTCATTGGCCGTTATCCATTCGTGTTCTTGGTAGTCTTCGTCCATCAGATCTTCAGCATCTTGTTTAGCCTTAATCTTCTTGAACATTCTGTCGAACATTTCGTCCTCTAGCTCGTCTTCATATTGATTTGCTTCGCTATCGTATCTTGGGTTTCTGTCCCTGTCGAACCTCGCTTCCATGATGTCTGCTTCAGCATCCATTAGTAATTCATCAAGTTTGTCATCTGGAATATTTTCATTTCGGAGGGTTACATCACTCAGTCTTTCGATTTCGTTTACTGGTACGTAGTTTTCATCCCACAGTTCATCTGGGTCCACTCCTTTGAGCAAATCACCATCGAGGATTAGCTCGCCATTACGCTTGGAATAGGTGCGCAATTCCGTAACTCCTTCCAATCTTGCGTCTTCTTCGATAATCTTGATGACTTGGTCAGTCATCAGAAGAACCTTGATTTTTGCACGTCGTGCTTCGCACTTTGTGTTCAGATCATAGATACGGTGCCCTTCTTGAATATTGTCGGTGGGTCCCATGTAAACACCTTCGATCGTTCGAGCAGCCATATTATTCTTGGTGTCATGACCATATCCGTGGACATAGGCACCAATCTCAGCGACAAATTTGTTGGAGGCATCAACCATTCGTTGATGCATAATCATATGCGGGCTGTAGTATGCAGACAACCCACCTTTTGCCGGATAGTAGTTGGATATTTTAACGACTCGTGCCATAAGTGCCACAGTTAACTTCTTTGGAATTGCCTTGAATGGCATTCGGTTAAAGTGAACCCGAAACAGTGCCTTTAAATGCTGATTATTTTGTTCCGCTTTCGGATCATGTTTGCCTCTGCTGGCGTAATTCATATGAACTTCAAGTTCGTCTTTCATGGGTTCAAATACCGGAAGGAACTCCCCATCGCAGTAAATCTTTTCCACTGTGAAATCACGTGCATTATATATTCGAAAGCATTTATCAATTGCGTCGTACAATGTTGTTTTGGATCGTGAAGCCAAGGGTATATAGCACCGGTATCTCACACTCCCATCAATGGTCGTGAGGCCGAATGAATTGTTAACAAAAACAAGATCAATGTGCAGCACAACATTCAGATTGTGCATTAATAACTCCTTTGGTATTTCTATCCAGTCATCCCGCACTCCTTCAGGTGTGGGACGCTTCGTCTTTCCTTTTAGGACCAAAGAACCAGGTCCATATATTTTTTTGGCAATGATTGCATCTTCTTCATTCACGTTGCAGTTCTTGAACAGACCAGATCTTACTGCAATGCAAAACGCTTGAACTCCTGGTGCACCAGCCATATGATACACTGATCGTGCACGACTAGCCCGCTCAACTTGTTTATCAGTGAACCCTTCGATATTCTCCCGTACCGTCTGTATGCCACAATAATCGGAATCGGAATAGCTAATTTTAAAAATTCTACCACAGAAAATAACACCGCATTTATGGCATTCGGTGTGTGCGACACCAATCGCGTCACAGTCACCATTTCCGCATTCTCTGTATTCACATTCAGAGTATTCGGATCCTTCATCACTCTCTGCCCTACCATCGGGCACGAAAGTATACAATCCGTTTCGATGCACATACCTCATTCTCTGTTCCCCCTTCGTAACGATGAAGGAGTTTTCAATGTCAGTGTCCATAACAACACGGAATCCAAGCTTCACAAGCTCGGATAAACTATCGAGGTTACATTGCGCTTC